GATCACTGAGGCATTCTTCTTCCCTATCCCTGCTGACACTGAACATTCGCACCCGCTCCATCTGTGTCCCATCCGCTCTTTCTACCTGGGAATAAGGATGCTGTGCAAAATCTGGGTCTTTCTTATACCTAGTTTGTATCTAGGAAAGGTTATTGAGCCTAAGGACCTCCTGACAACTTGTCCTCAGCCTAAAATCTCCTACTTACTGAAAAGCCTTTTATCCCAAATGTCTACAACATCAGCCGTAATGATACCTTTCCACAGTCACTTGTTTAGATAGGCCACGCTTCCCCCTGCCATTGGCAACGCTCCTGGGCTAGACTGCTTTTCTTAATCCCATGGATGTTGTGAGTATTATGTTCACAAGTGGATGCAGGGAAGATATTTTGATTGAACTACAAATCCTCACCACACGAGCTACTCATGCTTAGTAAAAATATATTAAACAGTGGTGATCTGGAGTTGCATTAATCTTGGGGATTATGCTGCTTGTTCGTTGGTTAAATACCATGCTTTCAGTGTCTTCTCCTAATCATATCAACTTTTTACAAAAGAAGATTCTACGCAAGGCTGTGTCTTTATAATGTTTCAACATGAAGGTAGTTGTTGATGTTAATTTGCAATCGTGAATTCATTTCATCTCATACACTTTTATGTTATAGCTTTCATAATGTTGTCAACATGAAAGTGCTTCAAATAGCTTTGAGTCCTAATCTGGTGGTTCTGTTCACTGAAGATAAGCAGCAATTCCTTGTTTCATTTTTTATTTTTCTAGGGTCACCAATGGGTCTAAATAACCTCTTTAGTTGTATTGGTGGACCAAGTGAGAAGAGATAAGTTGAGAAAGAGGAAGGGAAAAAAAAGGAAGAGTGAGCAAATATGAGAAAAATAATTACAGGGGAGAGCAGAGAGAGGGAAGCATTTTTGGAGAGATGATTTGTACACTAATCACTTCAGTCACCTTCTCAATTTATAAGCTCAAGGATAGAAAGTTAATCCATCTTCAGGCCTACAAAAGAAAAACGTGTGTGGGGCCTGTGTGGCCAGTCGGTACCAATTCTCTCCTCGCTAGGCTTGATGATCAAAGACTGGGGAAGTTGTCAGGACCTCAGTCCACTGAAGAGCTGGAAATTTCTGAGTCTTAATTGTAGGTTGCTCTCTTGGATGACTCGAAGAGTCACTCAGAAAATTCCTCAGCATAGGACTGGTTCCATGGTACGTGGTTGAGTGGAGTACATTGGAAGCCAGATCCCATATGGCCAACTGTGGTTCAAGTCCTGACTCTGGAGACTTCAGCAAAATGCAGAGTGTGTGAATGTGTGTGTGTGTGTGTGTGTGTGTGTGTGTGTGTGTGTGTATACATGTGCCCCAAATTCTGATGGGATGAAGAAATGGAGGAAAAGTAATTGTGACATAACCACACCTCATTTGGAGGACTCTCTCTGTTTCCTTCCCAGTCTCCCTCTCTTCCTCCTTCTCTGGAAAGCACATGTGCCCTATGACAATTAAAGAAAAAAAAATGTAAAAGAAAAGAACAAAATTTCCCAGCATAGGACAAAGGATATCTGACCAGCAAAATCTTTGGGAGGACAAAAAGAGGTAAAAACAGAATCAGTGGCCAGAAAGAACTGATGATGAAAATATTTCTTTCAAATAAAAACATCTCAGAAAAATCCATGGAACTACAGAATCTTAGCATAGGCAGCATTATCGTATCATTTAAATATCATCTTTGTGCTTTAGAGATGGGGAAACCAAGACTAAGAGAGGGGAAGTGACATGCCCAAAGCCACACAGTGAGTGGCTGAACAAAGAATATCATGAGTCCTCTCCACACTGTTGAGCTGCCTTTTCTGGGAATGGAATCACAGGCTAATCCAGGGCTGTGTTACATAGAGTCAAAGGGTGCATTCTTAAAGAAGAGCTGTGCCCTGGGACCAGCATAACACAATGGTTATGTCACTGGACTCCCACATAGTCGACCACGGTTTGAGTCCTGGACCTGGCGGCTTGAAATTCATGCAGGGTGCGTTTGAATGCATGCCCAAGATCTTGAGAGGAGAATGAAGGAGAAGGGATTGCAGTGTGGTCATCCTTTCTGGAGGAGGGGGGTGACTTCTCACTTTCTGTCTCTGTCTCTCCAGTGAACACAAGCACCCTATAGCAAAAATCCCCCTTAAGAAGAAGAAGAAGAAGAGCCATGCCCCAAATTAAATTTCGTTTTGAGATCTTACACTCTAAGTTTTTCAGAGCCTTGCTGGATTCTCCGTGTGCAGCAAGTAGAAGTCACTTTTTAGCTGGGCCCCTGACAGCCTGCTATGGACTCACCTTCAAAAAGTCTCCCTGAAAATGGACTCACTTTCCATGTACCACAATTTGCTCTCTGGACAAAAGGAAAGGGACTTAGAATGGGTATGTGGCTTAATAGCAAGTAGAACATAATTCGCAATGTTCTCTCTCTTGGGAAAAAGTCAGATGCAGCTTGGATTTCTCAATCTATGGCAACTCCAGTGGATGCTGGGAAAAGCCCCACTCTTTGGCTTCCTTTTCTTTTCTGCGGATGTCAACGGACTTACAGGTACAGACTGAGAAGAGAAAGACTTTGGGACTCTTTCGAGCTACTTAGGAGGGAGAGTTACTGCTAGAAACTGAGGACAACTTGTTTACATCCTATAGATGTGCCAGTTGTTAACTGCACTTGGCCCTGCCCCACTAGATTAGCCTCCACTCTCAGTAGCTTGTTGAAAGAATTACTAGGGCTCTGCTTCATCACTCCTTGGCAGGCATCGCAGTAGAACGCTTTCGTAGCAAGCATCAAGACAGAATGCTAAGACTTAGAATTAAGTCTGCTCAAAGCCCCTGGCTTCTGTGGACTGATGCTTTTATTTATTTACTTATCATTTACATTTTTTTTCCATGGGACGTTCCATTGTGGTGACAGAACCAAGAGCAATTATGGATCAGGAGCTTTACTGCTTATTTAGTTACATTTTCTGGGTCTTATTTTACTAGATTCTAAGGCCAGGTGACTTAAGTGGCTTGTGGCTTCTCAATCCTATGCACATATGGGTTGCTTCCTCTTTTTTTCTTTAGAGGTTTTTGCTATAGGGTGCGTGTGATCGCCAGACAGACAGAGAGAGATAGAGAGACAGAAAGTGAGAAATCATCCCCAGGGGGGATGGCCACACCGCAATTCCTTCTCCTCCATTCTCCTCTTGGGATCTTACGCACGCATGCACACGTGCCCGGCGTGAGTTTTAAGCCACCGGGTCCAGGACACGAACCGCGGTCGACTACGTGGGAGTCCAGTGACATAGTCATTACACTAACTGCTGGTCCCGGGTTGCTTCCTCTTTAGTTAGGCTTGGTTAGATGTATATATGGTCTTACAGACTTGTGCTCAGGAAGGTGAATAGTTTTGGCTAGGCAGATTCCAAATTGTGAAATCACCTTACTCAGCTGGGGTTGCATAGTCAGTTTACTGAGTTTTTACTTTCCCCTGCCATTGACTTTAGATGCAGGAAAGGAAGTCAGTCTAGGCAATATAAATCTGTTTCACCTGAAGACCATGAACACAGAGGGGTGGACAGTAGTGCAGTGGTAATACAAGGTTCTGCAAAGCCAACCCACATGGGGAGGCTTTGGATTTGAGTGCACATATGCGTGGGATCCAGGGTTGGCTGGAGCAGGCATGGATCATGGCATAAGGATGCTCTTGGGGGTTCCTGCCTCTCTCTCAAGTCTTTTACTCATGGATGAATTTTCAAAAGAGAAAAATGTAAAAGACTATACTTACACATTGTTTTGATTCCTTCTCCCTGTGTGAAATTCTTAAAGAAGATTTTTGGGACCATGCAGAGTGGGCAGCTGTCAAGAGTGTTAGAACCACTAAGTCAGAATATGTTCCAGAGCCTGCAGCACATGGCGTGGAGGTTACGATGGCTGGATCCCATTACTTAGTTGGAGTCCTGGACCTGGCAGCTGGAGAAACACCAGGTGCATGTATGCGCATGCCCAAAATCCTAGGAGATGAAGGACAAGTGATGGCAGTGAGCCACCACCCCTGGGCAGTGATATCTCCTTTCCCCTCTCTTTGTCTCTGTCTCCAGTGGGTACACACACCCCTATAGCAAAAATTTCAGTACATATATATCTATACATGTTCAAATGTTGGTCTATAAGACATAGCTCTAGATGCATGGCTGCAACATTAACAGAACTTCTTGGGTCATTTGCTTCAGTCAGCTTTGGGTTTTTGTAGGGTGCTGCTCTTTGCTGGAGTCAGGGAGAAAAAGAGGTTGGAAAAATATATTTTTACTTTCAGTGTGGTTTGGTTTCAGTATGGAGAGGACATGGGTAGAAGTTGAGCTGAAAGAGTAACATTTTAAAAAGATATTCAGCCAGTGTTTGTTGAATACCTACCTGGTGCCAGGTGCTAGGGGTACAACAGTGAACAAAAACATAGTCCTCGCTCTCTGGGGCATGCGTTATATTGATGGGAGGAGGGAAAA